AAGAGAACGAAAAAAAAAAAGATGTGTAGATACTTTTTTCTAGAAAATTTATTACATTTTATATACGTTATACATTAAATTATATAATTTTTTTACACGAATAAGAAAAGTGTACAAATAAAATCTAGGAAAATGGCATAACCGTTAGAGATTTCTTTTAAAAATGATAATTTCATACTTTATATAATTTAAATATTTTTTTATTTTATAGTGATTCTTTTCAGAGACAATCTCAGCAGACATCCTTTCTGTTACAGCCAGAACCGAGGCCGCAGAAGATTGATAAGCAGGTGATCGACGGGCACGTTCTACCCAATGAAGTCCTATTTACTGCACCGACGCCCGACAATACGGAGTATAAAACTCTTGTATTTTCCGACAATCTGAAAGTCACTGTCAGTTTCCTGAAAGCACATAATAAAGGTAATAATGATCGCTCGAACACTCTTTGAGGATCTTAATAATTCGAAATAATTAAGATTTATTGATTTAATTCAGGGGCAAATTTACTTTTTTTATTTATTTATATAATGATATAATACAATCAGGTAGATGATATTATCGTTAAAAGATAGATCTTTTATCTGCTAAGATAAATCTATTCCCATCATCCCGAGAGAGTTTCATGTATAATAAAACAATCGCGTTCAGCTAAAAGGACGTGTTTGTGCTTTAATAGCGAATGACACGTTCGTATCTCGATGTCTAATTGATAGTCCGATTTTCAGTCTACGTCCAATCGAACACGTTAATGGGCGATTCGAATCATCCAACCGGAGTGGTGCTGGCAGAGATAGTGAAGGCGAACATCCCGGTGCGCAACGGTGTCGTTCATCTGATACAACGACCGCTTATGGTGGTCGACACTACCGTGAGGGATTTTCTCGAGGTCAGTGCCCGATCATCCGTCATTAATCGGATCTACGAACGTTGTTCGAAAACCGCATCGGTTGCACCGATACAGTTTTCCGTAACATCGATTCACTCGACTTTCACAAATTCGAGACTTGCGTTCTTCAATCAGAAATATCATATTAATCCCGTCGATTTGTTCGAGGAATTTTTTCGCGATAAGATATATAGACAAGCCGTAATCAGCGCACGATAAACGATAATATTATTCCATACTCAATTATCATATGTTGAGAATAATGAAAATAATTAATTGATTAGTTTAATAAAGAGCAAATATAATGATTTATAATGTGCACGATGCACTGGCGCGGCCTCGTCATCGACGTCATTCTGTCCGCATTTATTAAAATGATTACGTTGAAATATGGCTGCATTTCGTTAGGGAAACTTGTTGAATATTAGGGGGACATTATGTAACATAATTTAAATTTTCATATACACATAGTTTTAATGAATCATAAGGTAGTGTGATGTTGTGTTATTATCTTCTCTCTCTCTAAAATTAAAATTAAAATGATGATGAAATAACATATCTTACGTACGTCAAATTAATTATCACCTAAAATTGATAATTTTATCGTGTACATCAAATGTAAATATGTTTCCATTTTCAAACGTGATTTCAACGTGTAGAATGTGCAGAGATATTATTTTAGCATTTTGCGATGCAGATGCAAACAGATCTGCATTTAGAAAAATGCAACGTTATCTTCATATTGCGCGATGCAAACACACGTACATTTGCATTCCGAACAGCAGCATATTTATTTTTTTTAAATGGATAAGCGCATTATCCGACCAAAATTTTTATGCGATGTTATCTTCATATTTTTCGATAAAAAGATAAACATTCAGGTTATTACAAATCCTAAAAATCCAAATAAACGAATATACATGGTAATTGAAAAAAAAAAAAGGAAATTACTTGGAGATTTACGGATAGTTATTACAAATCCTAAAAATCCAAATAAACGAATATACATGGTAATTGAAAAAAAAAGGAAATTACTTGGAGATTTACGGATGTATTGAGAGAGAAAAAGAAAGAGATAGAGACACCTAAAGAGGAATATTATTACATTGAATAAAATTGAAATATATTGTAATACGTTAAACCTGTAAAATCCGCTTGCTAAAATTCATTGAGCTTTCCATGAGTCTTCAATCATCCCGTATAACCCCGGCTAATGCAAACGACACGTACGTGCGGTGAAAAAGCGACGGCAATCGACCTGGAAAGTCGTCTACTCGTAAAAGCATTGTGACCGGTCCGGTTTATACGAGCCGAACGCGCAAGAAAAAGTCGAAATTTATAACTTCGTTTAAACCTCCTTACCAGGGCTCTCTGCGAAATTGAATGCGAACCTTTGTTTCCGCCCGTTTCTCTCGGAACTTCATTCACCGCCGACTATAAAGGCGCGACGACAGCTCGCCATTCGTCGGACTCCGTTTTTCCGTGAGCCTCGCGTTTGATATCTATGTATGTACGAAGGGCTCTTTCACAGTCGGCGAGTCGAGTGATCTTCCGTCTTGATTTCGCACCGGTGAAGATGAGTCTTCCTCTCTCTTTACACATTGCCCGCCTTGCTTAACCCTTTGAGCGACTCGCTATGTATTATCAACGCGCAGAGAAAGCATCGCGATGATAATGAGAGGTATGAAGCATAATGGAACACGTGAAATTCTCCAAAAGCAAGTATTACGATAGAGAATTGTTATTTCAGAAATTTATCCAACCCGAAACTTTGACTGCCAGATTGTATGATATTCAAACTCCAACCGTGAGAAAACATAGCGTACGCGATTGAATGTTGATAGAAGGAAGGTTTATTCAATTTTCAACATACGTAAAGGATATTATTCGAGTCACTACAATGCAATCTATGACAAGTGAAAAAACAGTAATTGTTTATCGCGTATTTTCTGTTTAGAAATAGCTTGAGATATTTTGCGGATGAGACGGAATCAAAATAACAATCTGGGCGCGCATCTTTCTCTCCCCTTCTATCTCTCTCTTTCTCTTTATCTCTTTAAAAACAAAGAGCTCGATGCGTTTTTCCGGTGCGCACACGTTCGCGATAAATCGCGGAAGCTTCACGCGCGCGGGTGCTTCATTTCGCCGACGCGACGCCTGGCGTCTATTATGAATTCAGGCCGCGCGATGCATTAGAGGGGCATTAGTATTCGCAGTGTCCCGATACGTATTTCCCGACGTGACGTGTTTCGCGGAACCCCGTAACGTCGACCTCAAAGGATCCCGGCATTGTGTACGAATTGGGGAGGATGGTAACGCCGCCGCCAGCCCCACCATCGTCATCGTCGTCGTCGTCGCCGTCGCGGACGAGTAATCATCGAATGTAGACGCGTACATTTTGACCGCTATGCAAACTATGCGGGAGTCAGGCTAAATGAGGCAATTGCAGCCAGCAAGACGCGCGTGAAGCTTCCGCTTCATGGCAAATTTGCGGAGACCAATTTCACCCTTCGCGCATTTAGTACGTGCGTATGTGCGAAATGTGTAATGAAGCTCAGGAAAGTACGAAGTACCCGAATTTGTGGAGGGACAATATTCCAAATTTTTATATAATTTTTTTTATAATAACATTTTTTTATGCAACTCTCTTATAAAATTTATCGGCACCGAAATAGAGTCGCGGAGAATACTTTATACCTATCTAACTTGTTCGCTTATCGAGCTGGCAAGTGAGAATGCTTATTATTGTTAACGTTATGATAGTCGAGAGGACTCTCGCGGGAACGATATTGAACGATCACCGCGATACTAACCGTTTAAGAACGTGTGGAAAGGCATTTGCGACTGGCAATTTGTACCGCTGGCTAGAACGTCGCGTTGAGATAAGCGTTGCGTTTCGTTGTGTATGTGCACTCGCGAAGCCGGGATCGGGCGGAAATGAGAAAGAGAACAAGCTTTACGGCAATCGTAAAGATTCTATCCGGCTGGGCGCCGATCCCGTGTATCGTAATGATTCTAATCTTAGCCAGTTCGCAGCCATTTTAGCGCCGGGGTTGCACGCGGAGCACGTGCGCGTACTTGAAATAACTCGTGATAATGTAACACTCCAAGTATATGCACCCTTTCGGCAACCCGATAAACTTTACGCAATGAAACGCGCTTAACTGAATTTTTATACACCAGAGTTTAAAAGGCGAGCCGAGGGCTCTCGGATTTTCCGATATTGAACAGTAAAGATTTCAAAGATTTTTGTGAAACTAAAAAACTGGGCCTTTTAAACATAAGATTCTAATAATTTATTTTTGGATTTTAGTATTTTAATAATTAAATCAAATTTTTGATGGTATGCACAGTGATATAATATTTTATTTAAATACGAAATGCAGCCAAATAAAGTGCAAGGGATGATCAATGAGACATACTACTACTTAATTGACGCGTACAACAATACGTCTTTTGACGAGGCCGATGTACTCGGCTATCCCTCGACGCAGAGGTGATTTCTCAATTGCGTCGTATATTCTGCTAATCATTTTTTACATTGAACAGCAACACGAGCCAAAACACCGCCATTCACAGGAAATACACTCGTCTGTATTCCCGCATCACACGTATAGCAAATAATTTATATTTGATATACTTAAGTGCAGTTACTCTCTAGTTCGATAACAGCATCATCGCTCGGATAACAGGAACAACGAACCACTTTAGTTCGAATTACTTTATTTAAGTCAATAACAATTTCATTACTCGTGCAGGTGGCACTCGTCAAGCACAAATACTACAACTATAACTAGGTCACAAAACCACTCTTCACGAGAATGTCTCTCCTCGACAAAACGAGGATTTATATTTATTTCATTTTTGTTCCTCTCTATATCGACCGCGGCATTATGGAGCGATGTTAATTAAAAATCGGTTATTTATTTTCACAAACATTTATGTTATTGTATTTTTGAATCCTTAAATATTCTATTTATTTTTGTTTATTAATTTAATTAATTAATCGTATTAAAATTTCAACTTCTTCGAGATTTTAATTTTTTATTATTGACTTAAACTCGTAAATTTTTAAATATTCAACTTCTTGAAGATCTCTGTTGAATCATAAAAATTTTAGAAACATAAATATTGGTTCAACGATATATAATTGCAGTCGTACAATCTTTGATAACAGTTTACGCGATTATCAAATATGTTTAACCGACATCGTTCCAAATGTGCACAGACTCTCGATGCAGTTTCCGTCGATTGAAACGCATTGACTCGTCTGCCGGCTCTCCTTCGAGACGCTTCTCATTCACCATCGGACAGCTGTTCCACTTCTCAGCGGAAATTCGAGAAAAATGTCTCTGAAACATTATTTCACTCCACGATATATACTGTCACACACGAATGTCTATACATGAACGATCGGAACACACGACTCCGTTCGACGTACGATAAGCGCATCCGTTCCGCGGCCTCGCCTCTTGCAATACGTGCCACATTATCTATGTGCGCCTATATAGGGTGATGCGCGCGACTAAACGCGCATTCATGGCATAATTACAGCTTTGTTGATGCACGCCGGATAATGGAGAAATTTAAAAATTCAGATTATTCACCTGCTGTGTACAGTCTGTGCTACATTACAGTTAACGCGCTTGTTCATGCAACGATGTAATTACAAAATGCACGGTTAAACATATATACTTTTACGTCGCGTCGCTACGCATAATTAGTTTTATAATTGCGTAATTTTTTTCAATTTTTCTCTCTATTGTTATCGGTAACAAAGTCGACAACTGCCTGAAAAACGGCATGGTCGCGCGGATCACCCTATATACACTCTGTATGTATGTCACATATGTATAATATATATATATATATATATATATACGAACGTTTTACACAGGACAGAGGAATGGAATGTTCACGTGACAGCTGTCGTCACATGCGATATCGACTGTTTTTCAGCAATGATCCTCGGCACGTCTCGCCTACTGTCTGCACCAGAC